AGGGACTGAATAGAGCCCAAGAGATCCAGGGAAGCAGGGCTGGCCCTTTGAAGGGGCTGCAAGTCCATTGAGGAGTTAATTGTCTGGGTGTACAATGAGTTTATTCTGACCACATACAAAGAGCTTTCTCTTCCAGGTCCTTCAAAAGCAAGTGTGTCAAAGGGGCCAGAGGAGGAATCTGTATTAATGGCATCTCTTGGGGTTTCCCAAGGTGGAGTATTGAGCAATGAGAAAAAACAAAAAACAAAAAATCAGCAACTTCCACCCCCACAACCTGAGATTTGGAAGGTTCCTCAACAAGCCCAAGTTCCCTCGGATCCTTGAACTCATCTCAAACCACGTCAACTATTGTGACCCTCCTTTATATTCTTTGATGACACCACTGTCTTTCTCTTGTGGGAATAAACTAAACCCTGGTATAACCAGAAATTCTTGCTTTTGAGGGACCATATTTATGTGATTCGAGATCCAGTATGGGAGTAAAGGTGACTTCTTCGGGCATCCTGTTTACAAAAGTCTTTTAAGCAGCTGGCCTTGGTCACACCGGGAAGATGGAGTACTGGATAACCTCTGCATCTCCTGAGATGCATGGCCCCTGGTTAAAGAGGCTCTTAAGCTGGCTGAAAGTTGTCCCTGTGCTGACCTGGGAAAGCAGAGCGTGTCTGGCACTTCCAGCTCACTCAAAGCCAGAGGTCTATGTTTTACAGCTGTTTCTATCCACCCAAACACTTCCCCTTCAACCTAAGAACACGTTTAATGCTGCTTTTGCAAGCATTGTCCCCATATCCCTTTGAATAAGAACAAAAAGCCAAGGCTAGCTGGAAAGGCAGAGGAGAGACAGACAAAAAGGGAGAAAAGGAAGTTGAAGAGAAAAGAAGAGGAGGAGGAGAAGGAGGAGGAGGAGGGAGAGGGAGAAGAAGTAGAGCAGGGGGCACCTCTAACACGTGAATCAGGTTGAAGACGGGATTCACATCGATCTCTGAACTGACTTTTTTAAAAAAAAAAAAAAAACTTCTTTTTATAAAAGATGTGCTCAAGTTTATGCAAATACAATGTCATGTTCCGCTTTCTAGGAGGGCTGGGGATGGAGCTCTCTCGGATGGCAGAGTGCTTCCCCTGCATGACAAAGCCCTGAGTTTGGTCCTGAGCACTGCATAAACCAAGTCTGTTTGTGTACACCTGTATCCTAGCACTTGGGAGGGAGAGGCAGGAGGATTGTAAGTTCAAAGCTAGCCTCAGGAGATCTAGAACCAACCCCCCCCCCCATGGATACTGAAGGATGACTGTAATTATATAGGTACAAAATTATAATACAAAATCAAGAAGCTGATATTGGCATCATCCATCCTTATCCAGAGCTCCCCAGTTGCACATGCACTTGTATGGGTGTGTGCAGCTCTGAATCATTTCACCCATGTATAGATCCATGTCACATCAGAGTCATACAGGACTATCCCATCACCTCGAAGGCTACCATGGGGCTTCCTCTTTTTGGTCATGCTTTCTCTCCTCCACACCTGGCAACTCATTTGTTCTCCTTCTCTATAGTCTCATCATTTCTAGAACATTGTATAAACAGAATTGTGTAATATCTAATCTTTTGCAATCGGCTTCGTGTGTTTATGTATTCATGCATGCACGAGCACACTCTGCACAATACCCTTGAGAGCTTTTCAAGTTGATGTTACATATACTGCTGAGTATCATCTGTGGTACAGATTTGACACAGCTCATCTCACCTGCCGAAGGACATCTGGGTTGTCTCTATTTTGACACTCTAGATAAAGCTGCTATACAGTATATACGGGTGATTTTGTGGATCCTTAAAATAAAGATCTTAAGGATCTCTAGTTCCTTAAAATAATTGTTCAGAAATATAATTGATATATTAGGGTTAAGTGTATGCTTGGATTTTTTTTTTCTTTTACAGAAACTTCCAGCCAGGGAGGGTGGCTCATGCCTCTAATCCCAACTCTTAGAAGGCTAAAACCATAGAATCATGAGTTAAAGATCCAGCCTGAACTACACAACTAGACTCTATCAAATGAATGAAAGAAAGAAAGGAGAGAAAGAGCAGTGGAGATGGGGAGGGGGAGAGGAAGAGTGAGTTTCCAAAGCATTCCATCGTGTCTGTTCCATTTAAAAGCTGTTCTATTTAAATCCTCACCAGCAGTGTATGAGGGATGTGGCTTTTCTGTCACCTCCCCAACACTTAGTATGAGGACCATTTTTAACCTTCTAACCGTGGCAGCTCACCATGGGCTTCCTTTACATTTCCTGTAGTGTTGAACATCTTCCACCAGCTCTTAGCCCTCTGTAGGTCTGCTTTGGTGAAGTGTCTGCGCATATAACCTGCCCGTTTGTTAACCGAAAGTTTTTCTACTGTTGCATTTATAGAGCTGTTTGTATGTTCTAGACACAAGGCCTGTGTCAGGCATAAGCTTTGCAAATATTTCCTCACATCTTGAGTGGTAAAATTTTTCACAAGGACTCTTTTAAAAGTTGTAACAGCTTTACATTCCACAGTACAGACTATGATCCATTACGAATTCATTTTTATTTCATAAAGCATAACATTTAGGTTGAGGTTTTAAGAATGCTCCAATTTTTCTGTTTGTTTAATTTTAGTATCTTTAATTAGGCATACACACGTGTGTCTGTGTTAGGCAGGTGTCTGCAGAGGCCAGAGGGCAGGGTCTGATTGGCTGGAGTTGGAGTTACCAATGTTATGAGGTGCCTGCTATGGGTACTGGGAACTGAACTCAGGTCCTCTGGAAGAGCAGCAAGCACTCTTAACTGCTGGACCATGTCTCCAACCCCTGTTTTTCTATTGTGTGTTTGGTCTGTGGATGCCAGGTGCTACAGTACCCTTGGCTTGGTGGCCTGTCCTTCCCGCACTGAATTGCCTTTGTCTCTCTATCAGACATCTATTCTGGTGTATGTATCTCTGGGTTCTCTATTCCCCATTGACTTGGGTGTATCTGCCCTTCCACCAACCACCCTTCTGTCTTCATTGTCACAGCTTTATGTCTTAAAACAGATTAAACTATTCCACCCACCTTTTCTTTCTTTCTTTTTTTTTTTTTTTAAAAAAAGTGTTTTAGCTACTCTGATCTATTTCCTTGGCATAGAAATTTGATGATAAGCAGTCCTGATTCTCATCTCCGTCTTCCTGCAGGTACAAAATCAGTTCAGTGAGACCTGGGACTGACAGTTCATCCACTTTCACTACAGGAGCTGTGTGGCCCTCAGAGCTGGCGCTAAGGAATAAGAACAGCCCTGAGACATATCCAAGCACAGAGCCTCATTCCTGGCTGTCTCGAAGGTGGTGTCCTCAACTTTGGACTTAACTCGGGAACAACAGCAAGCAAGCTTATTCCCACTGGCCTGAGTTCTCTCACCTGGACTTCAGAGGTGCTGGGAAGAGTCAGCCAGAGGGTGGGAGGAGTCAGCCAGAGGGTGGGAGGAGTCAGCCAGAGGGTGGGAGGAGTCAGCCAGAGGGTGGGAAGAGTCAGCCAGAGGGTGGGAGGAGTCAGCCAGAGGGTGCAAGAACTCCTCAATGGTCTATACTCATCCCAGGCTGCCCCTCTCAGGGTCTTTCCTCGGAGGCTTTGACAAAAACAGCTACCAGCCAGAGCTGTTCGGAGAGGCCACCCACCCACCTTCCCTTCCCTGGAGAAGTGACACATTCTAAGAACCTAGAAACTGTTGGTCCCTTGAAGGTCCATGTCCACCTGAAGCTTGCCTCTGTCACAAAAGGCTGAGGACCTAATGGTCCTGATGTGGTCCTCACAAAGTGAGGCTAGGATTCTTAACATTTTCACTAACAACTATAGCTTCAGTGACTATAACCAACCGGAGCCTTGCAAGCTCCGAATAAACATCTACCCAATAAAAGAAGCATGCATGAAATACCAACAGTTACTAATATCACCAGTGACTCAAACACTCATTTGGTTGTGAAGCCCTTCTGGATCCTTAAGTTCCATTTCCTTTCCAGTCCTTGGAGATGTGGTATGACAGGGATTCAGACTCAGTCTAGTACTCCTCACACATAAGCTCTCCTTCAGCCTTCTGGAGTAAGGGCTGAGATATGGGAGGGGACTGAGACTGGGGCCAAGCAGGAAAAACAGGCAACTGTAGAAAGGAGACAGACATTGTATGTGCATGAACACCCATGAACACCTATGCACACTTGTGCACGCCATTTGAAGCTGAGCTCTACACAGCTGGTATTTAACATCCCCAGCTCTGCTAAGGCGGCATGGAGCACAGAACACAGCAGTAACACACATACAGAGAGCCAAGAGCTGCTTCCCCTGCCCTGGAGATGGGGAGGTATGCTTCTGCTCAGCAGGACAGTGTAGCGTGGGTGTACACAGATCGCCCATTGCTTGTCTCCACTCAAAAGCGGTACAGGTTAAAAATCACATGCACAGGGATGATGCTTCATCTGTAGGGTATCCCTAGACAGCCAAATTGGTACACCTCAGCCTGGCTCAGGGCCCTGGAGCACAACTCCTTCAGGTATGCTCACTGCCCTTGCCAACTGTGAGGCCAAGGGTGGAGACTGCAGAGTCCCTTTTACCTGGGACTATCACCCCTGCCCTAAATCACCCATTAATACATTCTGATCCACCTCTTGAGGGGCACACATCCCAGGATGGCACTATTCTGAAGACCAGACTCCAGAGAGCCTCTAAAAATAGAGACATAGACAGAGACCTTGGGGAAACAAAGGTGATTCACTCCTTACTCAAGGCACATACTGTGGAGCAGATTAAAAAGAACTCTCCACCAATTAAAGGTGAGTTGGACTTTGGGAGCTCTACCCTATTCTGAGACTGGCTGGATAAACACAGAAGTCCCTAAAGGAAAATTTAAGCAGAGACTCTTCATGGTTTTGCTTTTCTCACTTTATCTTTAAACATCAAACTCCCAGCCAGGCCTCTTACAGGAAAATAGAAAAATTTCAGAAAGCTTTCTTGGTTTTCACTTACCATTTGTGACAGCATCAACCCTAAGGACTCTGTGATTCTGAGTCTTCGCGCGTGTGCGTGGGGGGCGGGCTGCGGAGGACACGACACAACACTCCTAAGAACCACTAAAAACCCTAAAAACCGTCTTGTACATGCTGTCTGGGGTCATCCCACCCACCGTTCTTTTCACTCCCCAATCCCCTCTGAGAGGTTGGGAATTGTCACCCTGGTACCTCCAGGCAGCCCCCATGTGTTATCCTGCAAGCTCACCTCGAGTTCTCCACATCTCAGCTCCAAAGGAGAACACTCAGGAAAGCCCACAGGCTTCAACACAGTCTGCTCTGGATCAGTCAATGGCCAGGAAACACAACCTGCTTCCCAGCCACTTCCCCTTGGACTACATCAATGAAAACCCAAAACCAGTCCCTCTCTCAGCTCCTGCAGCCTTCCACAGACTGTTCAAGCAGTAGAGCGGTCAGGGCTTAGAGGGACTGCCTGGGGTCCTCTTCTTTTCTTCGGATACGCCTCCACGGCATCAATAAAACGCCCGTGAAAGCACATGTGCACCAACCCCCTAGACACACACCCCACCCACCCCCATCTGTCTTCAAGGACCAGGAGCAGAGGAGGAGAGGAGGGGGCAGCAGGATGGAATTGCCCCAGATCAATGGATATTTGAAACTCAAACACATGGCCCAGGACCTACCCTGCATGTGTTAATTACCACACATGTGCCCATAAAGGAGTCCGTTAAACGCAAGGGGCACAAAGAACAGAGGGAAGAGAGGACATTCCAGGGGATTAAGTCTAGAGCCTGAAGTTGTGACCCTCCTCCCTTCCTTGAGCACGTGCATCTGGGGAAGATAACATGCCCCCCTCCCCCACTCCTTCCCTGGGGCCCCACACCTGTGAACCCGGACCCCCCAGCCTGGCCAAGCAGCAGTGACCTGCTGCTGCCTGCCCTCCCTCCCTCCCTCCCTCATGCTATCTCTCTGGTCTTCCACCCCCAGCTCCCTGCACTTTGCCTCTCTCCTTCCAAGGCCTAATTCCTGGCTGGCGACCAGACTCGGAGCGGTCGGTCCGCACAATACATCTTTTCATTCCTTCCAGGCAGAGAGAACTGATCCTTCCCGGCCCATCCGTGGGGCATAGTCAAGAAGGCAAGAAGGGTTAGGGGAAGAGAGAAGCTGGGTTCCCATCCCTGCCTTGCACCCGCACCCCTCACACCCACAGACCTATAGTCACGCCTCCTTTCCAACCATACTCCTTGCACTCCCAGGGGCCAGGCCAACATCATTTGGCTGGCAAGCCCCAACTCTAGAGAGATGCCTTCTGGGAGAAGCCACATGTGGGCATGAGCTCAGACAAGGGGCCTTTGTGTGGCCCCACCTGCTGCCCTCCAGAGCACATTCCTCTCCTAAGTGAAGCTGAAAGAGGAACTCGGCAGGTCCGACACAGGATATTACCAATGCCCTCTCACACTCTGTCCCCCTTCAAACTCTGGCTTCCCAGGCAGGTGTGACTTCAAGTGGCCTTTCCTACAGGTGGCCCAAGCATGCCTTCTCTCTATGCCTATGGCAGACAAAGAAAAGAGGACCTGTTACCTAAACTGATCCTCCAAGTGGAGGGAAAATGAGACCCCTGGGCAGAGTTCAGATCTCCAGGGGAGAGTGAGACCAAACACACACCACCCACCACTCGCCCCTGTCCTTTGCCTCCAGGGAACCCTGCCAGAGGAATAAGCCGGCCACCACAGCAAGAAAGCAAAGAGCTGGGAGCTGACAGTAACTTCTCCCACTAGGGCAGTAATTCTCAACCCGTGGGGTGTGACCCCTTTGTGGGGGGGTGGTGGTCACATATCAGATACCCTGTATATCAGATATTTACATTACCGTTCATAACAAAATGACAGTTATGAAGCAGCAACGAAATAACTTTATGGTTGGGGGTCACCACGACAGGAGGACCTGTCGCGGCATTAGGAAGGTTGAGAGACACTACCTTAGGGGGAGGCTTCATTCTTTGTATTACCCTGCAGGAGTCAGGCTCCTGATCCCGCCTCCAGATGGGCTGGCTGACCTTGGTCTAAGAGGGGACAAATGGTGCTCACTGCTATCTACTGAAACCCCATCTGCAGTCCACCTGCCCTCTTCCAGCTGGCTCAAGAGGAGCCAGGGTGAGCATGATCTATCCAGCATTGTTACCCATTAGGCACAAGGCTACAGCAGCTAGGAGAATGCTTTGCTATCCAGAAAAGAATGCAAATCTCCCGGCCAGCCTTTCTGGACAGCATGCTTTATAAGCACCTCGCACCCCCCATTCCTTCTCATGGGAAGGATCAGTTTTGATGGGTGGTCAGTTATACATGACCGTCCAACAGTTTTTCCCTGCCAAGAGGTCCTCAGAAGCAAAGGTGAGGCTCCTGACGCTCCTCATCCCATCGTGAGCAGAATGAACGCAGATCCTATTCCCAAACCCTCCAGGCACATGCCACCGACAGCCCCGGTGACTTCAGACCTCTACAGAGGACACCCCTGCCTGCCCTCACCTCTACTCTCCTGTCATAGCATTCCTGGTTGCGTCCTCAACTCTGGGAAGGACCTGGAAAGGTATCTGCTCCCTTCTTCCCACCTGCCTTCTTCAGGGGAAGAGAAGCCACCCACCTGCGGGCCCACTCTTTTAGACAGTGGTGATACCACCTTCCACTGAGGACCACATCTCAGGAAAACAGCTTCTCTGATCCTCCACCCCCATCCTCAGTGCGGTGGCAGAACCCAGCGGCTGCCCCGGTCTCCATGTGGCTGTGTGGGTAGCCCACAGTGAACCTTACGCTGACTCACAGTACCCTCCCCACTGGGGACTCTTAGGAGCATGCAGTTTCCAGAGCCAAGGTGAGATGGGAAGCCTCGGGTTCAGCCTGAGGTAGAGGGAAGCTCGGCCACACCTGTGCGTGTGACAAAATGGCTAGCTAGCTGCTTTCCAGGTTGGTCACTGTGTGTGCTGTCCCAGGAGCCAGCAGTGGTGTGCCCTAGGTCTCAGCCTGTCTTCCAAGCCGGAAAGAGTAGGCAGCACACTGCAGGGACCAGCACTGCATGCCAGGGTCCACTAAACAGTCCTCAGACAAATACCAGCTATGTAAAAATAGGAGAAGCAGACTAGAAAAAACAATGTGGGTCTTTTGTTAAAAGGAGGGGACAAAATTGTCATTAGAAGTTTAAAATAGAAAGCGTTACCCTCTCTACCACAGTCTCTGTCTGACTGTCTGTCGTCTGCCTCTTGACTTGTAATAGTAGTGTTTAATCTGCTGTTTAGTGTTGTTCTAGGTTTAAACAAAAGAATCAAAACCTTCCGCTTGCTATGGAAGCCAAATGGTAAGTATCACACAAACCATGTGTGGTGGGTGACAAGGCCTGGCAGCAGACACTCATGGGACATGCCTCTCCTCCACCCCTGTGTGCACGCCACCGCCCTCTGGGTATCAAAACAACATGGCTGAGATTGTCAGGGCCATGGCACTGGCCACATACTATGACGTCAGCCTGGCCTTCAAGCAGGGACTCTAGACGCACTAGAACACACTCTCAAGGGAAATGGCAGGGGAGGACACTCAAATGAGTCTACAAACAGGTAGGGCCAAGGGTAGACGTGAGTACCCTACCTTGATCCTCCTCTTGGAGTAAACACTAGATGTGTTGGTAGTTGGCCAACTGAACTTCCCAGAGAGCAGAGACAGATCCACGGGGCTCACATAGGGTCCCTACCCAACTCTGTGCCCCACACTTTCGCTCTTTCCTCAGAAACAATGACAGCTGGGTCATCACCACTGTCTGGGCCATCCTCCCATCTAGTGCTTCAGGAAACTGGAAACATGAAGCATGCTTAGTTTTCACCCCAGGCTCCCTCTCTCTCAGCTAAGCACCCCTACTCACACTAGCTTTCAAAGCAAGCGTGCAGAGGAGGCATAAAACTCCACTCACCTCTTCTTTCTGAATTATCCTGGCTCAGGGGCTTGTCAGTGACTGGACCTTGGGCAAGAGAGACAGAAGCACAACATTCAGATCATACTGTGGTTGGTTTCCATCAAACACTCGGCAGAGCCTGATGTTATAAGTACATGGTCATGTATATATGTATTGTATACACAGCGGGGATATTATATACAAAGTTGGTGTGCACATGCATGTCGAGTGGAGTTTGTTTAACATCAATGTCACTGATAACCCAGACTGTTTTGAGATGAACTATGATTTCCAGGTTCCCTGGAACCAATCTTGACGAGGTTTTTATAAAACTCCACATCCATGTAACTCAAACATTCTAATATTTGTCCCCCGCTCATACACCCCTGCGCCCCCTCTTCTCACCAGCTCCATGCTCTGACCCATATCCAGTCACCAGGGCCAACTGAAAAGAAACCCCTTCTTATTGAAAACGCAATGATTGACATCCCTTGCTGGTCAGGGCAGGAAATCGGTGATTTTCCGTCTGCGTTAAGTAGAAAATTGTTGGCCCAATTGTACTGAATGGGCCAAACAGTCTGAGGCATGGAAACAATTTTCTAGACACAGCCTGTTCTTCAAGGAGGGGGCAACCTGCATGCTGGACAAACATTTGCCCATCTCTTCTGGGATGCCACATGAACCCATCATCTAGACCTGGCTCTGTGGCACCTGCCTTCTCCTTAAAGCCCAATGCCACATGTGCAGGGAAAAACCTACTCCATAGAAAGACCTCTGTGGAGATCCTGCCCACAAGAGAAAACTTTCCTAATCCACATTATACTCCTTCTCTATACATTAGTTCTCTCAGGATTCTGTTATCTTATCCTGCAGGGGACTTGTGTCTAATGCATTTGTTTGCTTTAAATGAAGTGTTCCAGGTCATTTGCAAGGAGGGCCAAGTCCTGCCCCTCCTCACCCTAACCCAATTAAGGTTTCTAGTTTCTGTGTAAACCACAAATAAAGTAAACTTCCCTTTTGGCCCGTAAGTTTTGATCCCTAACATACATTCTTACATACATTCTTATGACCCATGCCACTTACTTTCCTTTTGAGAGAGAGAGAGAGAGAGAGAGAGAGAGAGAGAGAGAGAGAGAGAGAGAGAGAACAAATTTAAAAACCAGGGAAAAGTTAGCAAAGACTGAAGACCTTTGAAAGCAGGTTTTAGCATAACATTTTATTTTTCTGCTTGCACTGAAAATTGGGAATAAGTAAAAATGCAACCCCTATACACAGTGGATGGGTTGAGACTGGCTGTTTTGAGGGAGACCTTAAGGGAGTTACTAATGAGGGGAAAACATGGGGCTTGTGTGAACCCATACCCCACAATCCCACAAAACTGACCTAATGGCAAACTCCGTAAGCCTACAAAGTTGGGAGTAGAAAAGCAAACTTTGCTCTGGATAAAAACCCAATGGATCATTATCAAACTTGTCTAATTATCAGAAAAGCTTCATAAAAACAAAGGATTTCAGGTCCATTCCAGATCTAGTACCTACTAGTCAGAATATTTAAGGAGAAGCGTTGACACTTGGAGTCTCTTTAATCTCCCAGGCACTACAGAGGACCAGCCAGACATACGGTTCACTGTTAAAAGAACCTTCCGTTGTTGTTTGTTACAATACTCAAGGATGGCAAAGATGTGCAAGAGAAGCTAATACTCTCCTTGCCAGTGTCCGGGACAGACATCACTAATCAATCATTGAAGCCTTTGGTGTTGAACTCTCATGCACCTTTAAAATCAATACCAATAATGCACTTTAAGGCCCACTCAAAATCCTAGATGTATGCCATCTCACCTCTAAGGGACTGTGTGTAACCAATGCTTAGGAATAGAGCACAGACCAGAAACATAAACTCATACGCATATGCAGTCACTGATGGACACTCTTCACCAAGCTGACTACGGAGCAAGTGTAGAGTGGAACCCTTCTGACCTGGAAAAGGGTTCGTTTGCCACACCACCCTTTAAAGGTTTGCCTGTAAGATTCAGAGCCCAGCCAGCAAGTCTCTCTCCAACACTTTTCATTCCTCCCACCCTTTCCTACGGTACCTGAACATACAGGAGTTTTATTCTGCACAGAAGAGCCACTGATGGGCTTCCCATCTGGGGTGACACACCAGCAGTACCCCGTGTAAGTATGGCACTGCACCTGTTCAGAGAAGTGGACAAGGAGGAGAATCGTAAGTCTCGGGTCACATTCAATCATCCCTCGTCCCTTCTCTAGGCATCTGGACATCAGAAAATCTCCTTCCACCTCCCACTCCCACATCTGTCCCAGGACGCCTCTCACAGGTAGAGCAGTCAGGTGAACCCAGCATCGACGTCACACTTGCTTTATGACCCCTGTGTACCACTACAGCGATTACCTGCTTCTCTCTTAGGATTCCAAACACTGAACATCTGAGAGCCTATGGGGAAAGGCCCACTGTGGTTACCCTGTGATGTATTACCCCAATACCTGTACTTTTCCCCCAGAGCTGGCACATGCTCCCATTCAACTGCAAAACAGCCTGAGCTGTGAACTAATTCAGCAAGTATCTGTGGAAATGTCACCGCTAGGGATTGACAGGACCCTTCTTGAACAAGTAGAGACAAATGCTAAGCTTTTCTCATAAGCAACATAGTGACATAAGCCACATAAGCCTGCCTGGTGAGAACGCAGCTCTCCTGAGACAAGGCCAGAGCCCCCTTGGGCCTGCAGGATCTTCTTCTAGAAGCCCAGCTGGACCACAGGGTGGTCTTCAAGCCTGCAGGATCAGAGCTGGCTGTCTGGGAATGGTTAATTAAAGTGAGGCTTTCTTTTAATCTTCCAGAGTAGCTTTTTTTCTCCTCCAGTAGCTGTTGCCTTGCCCACCTTCTCCCATCCTACCCACTGCCCTCTTCCCATCTGTTTTCCCTGCAGAATTACTAAACACCTATCAAGACAGACTGCCTTGTGTAAAACTCTTCAATGGTTTGCTTTTGGACTCAAGATAAAGATTAAACTAATTTCCATGATACTTAAAGGTCCCCAACAATCTGTCCCTGCCCATCCTCCTGGTGTCGTTTTTACACCCAAGGCTCCACAAACATCCTCCACTTTGGCCATAGGGGGCCCTTTGATGTTCCCAAGCACAGCCTCATTTCTCTTGGTTCTGAGCCTTTGTTGGCCCCAACCATTCGGTTTATCCACCAACCATCCCAGGCCACCTATTCCCAACCTTCTCTTAATCCTTCTGCTCCCCTTCATGATACACCTTCTCCTCAAAGCCAGTCTCAGTTTCTCCAAACCCTTCTCCAAATTCAGAACCCTTCCCACGGCAGGCTAGAGAGCTTGAGCTGTTGTTGATCGGGCAGGTCCATCTGACCACTCTAGATTATAACTTCAAGGATGGCGAAGTAATTATTTCAGAGTCCCCAGAATCTAGTATGATGCTGACATCTATTGCAGGTGACTGATGGGTTGAATGAAAGCATGGATTCTCATATTTCCTCCATTCTTGGTCTCCCATCGACTCTAAAATGCAACATTAATTTAAAAAGCCATACCGCATTAAGTGTATATCTCAATGACAAGATGTGTGCCAATGGCAAAGATATTAGAGTGTGAAAAAAAATGTGCCTCTTGGGATCAAGGACATATTGGAATTGAGGCCAGGCAGTAACTGCATACAAATTGAGCAGAGAGATGTAGAAAGAGACAGTGAAAAGAGCAATCTGACAGCCTGGGTGGGAGCCAGAAGTTATCACGAAGGCAAAAAAGGCTATGGAAAGTATTGTACTCTTGTGTGGGTATCAAACACTGTCATTCCCCCCCAAGGCAAGTTGTTTCACCCTGAGTCTGTCCATAGATATCAGGGTAGAATAAAACAGTCTCTTATTCCTACCAGTAACATGGTTGCTGTCAAAGGGAGCACTGGCTCATATCTCTGCAGGGACACCAGTGCCCAGAGCCCGAGCCACACTCTGCTCCTTCTTCACCTTCTAACACAGTGACACCCAAGATGCTCACCCACCATCAACATCCCAGGCTTGGCAGCACTGCTTCCCAATGCGGTTAATGTTGGGATAGAAAGAAATCAAGACAGGCCAGGGATTGAATCCTAGTCTAGCCAGTTACAGATAAGGCGCATTACTAGTTCTTTGAGCCTCCTCTATCTACTGTGGATAATAACTGTCTAAGCTGGAGGGCCCTGGTGAGGTAGTCTAACACCTGGCATGTGGTGAGGGCTGGTATGGAGTGGTCATAGCAGTGATTTTGTTCTCGGTTATACCAACACCACCTGCCAAGTGTCTCCCCACAGGCCAGACCTCCTCTAGTAACCTCCATAGGTGTGGGCGGAAAGCGCCTCTGGAAACTTGGCTTCACCTGCAGATCACATAAGCCCTGCAGGGGATGCTTCCTAGAGCTCATTCCTATCCAGAGGCAGCATTTAAATGGGCCTAATGGGATCTGGCTGGCTGCTTTCTCCACTTTGGCCAATAGTCACCTCTGGGGAACTGTCCCAAGGGCTGAGTTGCCATGCTGACTCACTCCTAAACCCTGGAAGCCCACTGCTGAGGCTCTCACAGGACGACTGTGCACCAGGCGACATCCAAGGCTGTGTGGCATGCTGCAGCAGGGACATCAAGGTCCAGCACGCGCCAGAGAACCAAGCTGTTTGAGATCCCCTTTCCCAGGGTATACACAGAGTTCTGCCTAAGGTGACCAGGGCAGAACGGAACACATGAATAAAGGCAAAGCCCAGAGCTTTGCTTCAGGGGACACAATCTGACCTTGGGGCCCAAGGGTCCACGGGCCACATTCTCACTCAGTATGTCCATTGTCTCCCTGTGTGCACATGGGCACAGCCAGCCAGCCAGCCCCCTTGCCAGGCCCACAGAACCAAACACAACTCCTTTCTCCCCAGGGTCCTCAGCTTTTTCTTCCAACCACACTACAAGGAAAAGACTCAAAAAAAAAAAAAATCTTCATTCTGGGAGCTGCTTCCAAATTCCATAAAACTGAAACCAAATGAGGAATTGCTGCCCCGTTCCTTTGAGGCCTTGGGCATGCCTGACCCACCCAGCTGTGTTAAAAGGAAGAGGCAGGAGGGAGCAGAAGAAAGCACAGGGACTCCAGTGGGGTCTCAGATTGGGGGAGTTGCTGGGGTGGCTAAGCAAGAACTCTTTGCTAAAGGAACCCAACGATTCAAACTGAGAGATTATTATTATTATTATTATTATTATTATTATTATTATTATTATTAGCGGTGTTTTTTAATGATGTTTGCAGGAAAGAAGCTACGGGGAGGCAGCTTGCAGCTAGTCCATCTGTCTCGGCCTCAGATAACAGCTGCATTGATTTTAAAAGGGGGGATAACAGTAATAACGCCCGTCTTGGTTGTTGGGAGAGCTGATGAGGTAACACGAATAAAGCGCGGGTATCAGCAGGTAAGGACCCGTGGAACTTTGCTGTTTCAGGCTGCGTGGTTAAAGAGCTTCCCATGTAAGCAGCAAACGTGGAAACCAGAGTTCTGAGCCCCAACACTCATGTCCATAGCGGAGAGGGCGGCCCGCCCGTATTCCAAGCACTCTGAAAGCAGACCCAGGGAATTCCAGGGCAAACCGGCTGGCTACCTAGACTAGTTGTATCAGTGAACTCTGGGTTCAGGTGAGAGACTCTGATTCAGGGAATAAAATGGAGACGTGACCAAAGAAGACTCCCAACATCAACATCAAATCTACACACACACACACACACACACACACACACACACACACACACACGCAAACAGGCATACATGTTGCACACATAGACATGGAAAGACAAAAACACTTAGCTTAACATTATTAACATTATTAACAAAAGTTTATTTATTAACATTATTAACAAAAACACTTAAACATTATTCCTATGTTTAATGTATATATGCAAACCACCTGTTCATTTTAAAAGGCCAGAACCAAACTGATGAGAACCAAAGAGCGCACTCTGACCAGCCTGTGGAAAATGAAGGGTCTGAAATCAGCAAAGTTTGAGAAAGTTTGGGCGGCGAAGGAAGTTTATTTTATATAGAAATAGTTGTTGTGACGCATTCAGTCACTCTCTTGGCAAGTCCTTGATAGGAGAATTATTTATGCAAATTTTTCAATATTTAGTAACAGCCCAGGAAGTTAGAATCCTGGTCCAGAGAAACACAGCTCCTGGCAGAGAAGCAGTCAGATACAAGTTCCACGGAACCGATGAGTTAGCTAGACACAATCTGAGCAGAGTGTGCCTGGTTTAGCTCCCCTTGCAAATGTGTCGTTTAACTTAGTAACTAATACTCTTGAGAATCTCTAATGGACCAAGTCCTGGCCTTTAACGAATTATATGGCCAGGCCAAGAGGAGTTGACAAGGCAAGTGGCCATTTCTAATATCCTGTCATTTGTCAAAACTCAGGGCTGTCCCAGCCCCACAAGTAGATAAAAGTCAGGAAAAAGGCCCCCATCCCACTCTAGAGCATCCTGCAGAGGCTGAGGTGTCAACTGGAGGGTCCTCCTGTGGAGACAGTGCACACCATCCGAAAGAAGGATACTCTCTGCCTCTACTGCCACGGTCCTGCTGGATATAACTGGTGTTCCTCCAGCTGCTTTAAGACACGGTGCTCCTAGATAAATAAGTTCCATCTCTGACTCATATGCTTTAATATCATTGGCAAAAAAATATCCTTTTACATAAACGGGCCAGGGGTATATTGCAGTTCAACCTCCATCCAAATTAAGACAAATCTGAAATTATTTTAAGCCTGCTAATCATCAACATGAGTCCAACTCCTGACCACCCAGTGAGAATGTGGGAGGCCAGCATTTCCAGCAAAGGTAAATGAGTGACCGGTGGGTAGAGAAAACACCAACTCCCGGGGACAAGTGGGAGGAGAGTGTGGAGAGAAAAAAGAGAGGCAGATGGCAACCGTCACCCACGGGTGCCAGGCCTCAAATGAAAAACACCACCTTCTACTTTGACAATAGCTCCTCAGTCCCCCGTGGACTCTGCATTATCTCATTTGGGCCTCAGAGTGACTCTCTTTGAAAAGTCCTTCATGGGAGAATTATTTATGTAAATTTTGCAACTAGTTAGTAACAGCCCAGGAAACTAGAATCCTGATATTCCAGTCTTCATAACATTTCAGAAACCACAGAACTGG